CTGGACGGTAAAACTTTTACAAAGGTTGTGCCGTACACAATCCTAAATTACAATACAAAAGAAAATGGGGAAAAAATCTGCTAGCCAAACAATCTGCTTTTGTATGGCTGCAAAATATTCTTGTTTCCTTTTTTGTGTTCAAAGTTTTTCTTTTTTTCTTGAGAGGTATGTGTATTAGTGAATACTGATTTAGAAGGAAATTGGTAGGAATCGTAGTTAGAATGTAGAAGTTGTCATTAATGGAAGGTTGATCAATTGGAGTCTTTCGAAAAAGAACTGCTTATAGAGAGATGAATGGAAACATGTAAGTAGAATTTCACTGGCAAATGCTGGAGATAAATAATTTACAATTGCTGAAAAGGAGTATTCCTTGTTTCATAATACTACATATACACATACATCCTTTGAAAATCGCTACGGAAATTTTTGTCAATGTGTCCACACCCACCAACCACATACGGAACTTTAGAACCAAAATAAACAAAATCAGCTCGAACATAAAAATTCGCATTTTTCAATGTCTGAGTTTTTTAAAGTGGAAGCTCTATGAAGACATTCATGACTTCCTTAAAATCATTAACTTCAGCTGAAATTTTAAATCAACTAGGACATAAAACCAGTAAGGAGAGTAGTAAAGTCGGACTTGGCGGACTATATGATATCCTTCACGACTTTGGGTATATTGTTCATATGTATCCCAACAATTTCACTGTCTATCTTTCTTCGGAGGAACATACACATGCCTTTCTGGAACGTATGCTAAATTATATTTCATTCGGACAGATTTAGAGTCGTTTGCTTACAACGGGACAAATATATGGAAATCGATTTATAGCAAACTTGATACACGCTATTCAGCGTGCCGCACTGTTAAAAATTTAACTCCAATCAAACACCCGTTCGAAATATATAAGGAAGATATGTCTCAATTTGATACGTTGTGCAAAATTTCATGTCAATTGGAAAAACATTAGGAGTTTGGTGCACCTTTTAACTTTTATGGGGGCTATATCTAAATCTGAACCGATTTTCTCGAAACATAATACCTTTTATTCTAGACTTAATTCTGACTCCATGCCAAATTTCGTGCAAATCGAAATATATATGGGGACTTTGGTACATCATTTACATTAAATCGGACGAAAATATATATGGGAGCTATATCTAAATCTGAACCGCTTTTCTCGAAACTTAACACACATCATTCTATATTTAATTTAGTGCGCTATGCCAGATTTCGTGTAAATCGAATGTTGTATAGAGACCTTGCTGCACAATTGACATTAAATCGGACGAAAATATATATGGGAGCTATATCTAAATCTGAACCGATTTTTTTTCAATTACAACAGAGTTCGTCCTTGGGCTAAATAAATGAGCTGTGCCAAATTTGATCTCATTCGGATGACAAATGCGAACTGCACTTTGTTTACAATTTAACATCAACAAACGGACGTATAAATACGCAAAAAGTGATTGTATGTATATTCTCAAAAGTAAGAATGGGTCTATCTCGTTACCTTTTGACTGTTACAAACAGGATGATGCTCCCAGGACCACTCTAAAACTTCCTCCGCTAACTCGCAAAAATCTATTATAATTGAATCTTTGGAGAAAAAACCTCATACTCTACAATGATAAAGTCCAGAAATATCATATTTAACCCCTTGACGGCAAACCTTTTAAAACACGTAAATATAAACTATAAAGTCACAACCACCACCAAAGCATTTTGGATATATTCTCAGAAATCGAATTATATTCAAAGGACATCTGTGTGTACATGAACCTGAGATTTTTTACCACATCATTGGAATTTAAATGCATTTTCCGTTTAATTTCCAGACTCTACTTCTTTATTGAACTACACGCTTAGGCACTTAACATATATTCGCTTTGTGGCATGTTCCAATTTTTTGGATCCCGTTCACGGCACCCAAGTCTATTAATATTTAGCAATTAGAACAATATGCCACATTGTTGTTCAAATGGCAGCATATTGTGGCAAGAAGCAAAAAATGAAAAACAACAACAAATATTAACGGTAATGCTAATTTGGCGAATGTATATGTCTCCCGAATGACTTGAATACAATATGAAAATGGAATCAGATCGTATTAAATAAGCATCAACATATTTATGTTTATTAAACACTTTTTTTGGGTTGTTGGTGTTCTCTTTTTATTTTTGCATCCTCACTCCAAAACGACCACTGTTTCACATCACCACCAGTCATTTGGGGATTTTCGTGCAAAGTGAAAACACACAACCACCCACCCACACAATTTGTTCGTTTGGTAATTACAGCCAGCAGTTCTAAGTTATCTACCACTTACTTTGTTACTTCTACAACGACATAGAGGACGACAAGAACGACAACAGCGACAATACGTGCAACAGCAATCGTAAATAGCAAAAGCAACTACGCAGATTCACTCTGGAATCTGCCAGTTAGTGTGTTTTTGTGAGCGTGTGTACAACAGAAGGTCACATAACATTTTTGCTGCGTATTCCAAAAACGCAATTAGAAGTTGAAATAGGTGCTACACCCCGATGCCTGATGTATTTTTCGTAAAGTGAACACCTTTTCCGTTGTATTGTGACGCTTGGATTTCAGTGTGGCTACGAGGTTACCCCGGCATCTAGTTGAGATGTGGCAAAGGTATGAAAACAACACGGCCACAAATGGCTCTATTTATGGATTTTATGTGTGTCTCACGCGATTTACGTGGCATATTCGTCGAGTGAAACATGTGGCAGGCCGTAAGTGAACGAAGTTTTATCCTGTATGAGAGTGTTTTTGTAATTACACACAAAACACAGAAGAAATAGGCAAGTGGAAAAAGGAAACGTGTAACACCACGTATGATGATGGAATGGAACAATAATGTAAACATATAGAGAGGGAGATTCATAGCTACCATTCGTTCACTCACATATCATGCTAGAAGTTTACTTTTAGGGAACAAGTTTTGTTAAATGTTTCGTGTTTTGAAAGAAATAAAACACATCCTTGGCAATAGGTATTTGTCATTTAAATAATAGGCATTTACCTATTAGAGACGTGTTTTATTGAGTTTTAAAAACATAGTGACAATATAGAATCTGAGTCGATTAATAATTATTTGTACACTTATATGTAACAATTCAAACATTCAATGGATCATAGATTTCAAGAAAATTATGCAAATAATTTCTAGGTTCAAATTTTATGACTGGACTACATAAAACATCAGGTTGACATTGAGGTTTATTTCATTTATTATTATTTTTTTAAGTTATGTAAAATCCACTTCAATATTATGTTTTGTACAAAAAAAAAATCATAAATACCAACAACGAAAACCAATAAATAACGGACGTAAATATATATATGGTAGCTATATCTAAATCTAAAACGATTTCCACAAAATATGCCATTCTCAATTCAATTCGATTTTCAAAATTTCCAATGAATTGGACAAACCTTGGGAGTTTGGTGCACCATTTACCTAAAATCTGTCGAAAATACATATGTGAGCTATATCTAAATCTGAACCGATTTTCACCAATAGGATTCGTCCTTGGGCCAAATAAATGGGCTGTACCAAATTTCAACCTGTACTTTTTTACAATTAAACATCAACAGAAGGATGGACTGATTGACACATAAGCCGACTCAGAAAGTGATTATATGCATATTCTCAAAACGAAACTATGGGTCAATCTCGTTTTCGTTTTGCATGATATAAATATAGCAACAATGATATAATAACCTCTACCACAGTGCGCTGAAGGGTATAATTATAAATCGGTAAAATTACCAGTTATAATCAACAAAAAAAAAAAAAAATAATAATAATCGCCCATGTGACATGTTCCGAGAGCCCTGGTTTCTACCAGAAAAAGTCTAATGATACTGGAACGTGTTAAAAAAAGCATTTATGGATATTTTGAGAGAAGTTGGTCCTTTCATACACAAGGGTACCATTCCCGAAAGCCTGCGCTTAGCAGCTACCTTAAGATTTCTGGCTGTTGGTGGGTTGCAGAGGGAAGTGGCAAATGATTTAAATATAATTGTTGATCGCACAACAATGTGTAAAATATTGTGGAGGGTAATGAAAGTCCTGGAAGACAAAGTGTGTGCAAGCTGTGGACAGCTGCAGACCAGGATCCAGCCATGATGCTTTTATTTGGCATATGAGTGCAGCTAGGCAGCATTAACAAAAAAGGAAATGGTATGCAAAATAGTTGGCTTCTAGGGGACAGTGGTTACGCTTTAGAAACATTTTTGATGACGCCCATAAACAAGTGGAGCATGGATCTTGTCAACATCGATATAGTAAAGAAACATTATTAAAAGGACTATTGGAAATCTTAAAAGTAGTTTTTTTATAGATTCTGGTTGAGTTGCCAGATTGATCTCAAAAATGTTACGCGCTGTTTTTGATAAAAGGAGCCCTTTTTTATTCTCTTTAATTTTACTATAAAAACTAATGTGAATACTGTATTTTTTTAAATAAATATTGTAAAAACACATTAAATATTACTTCAGCGTTCTTCTTCAACGTGTACGTGCTCAGAAAAACACGTTCGATCTCATTTCGTTTTCAATCCACAAGGCTATATGTGCTCGAATTATATTCCCAATATTTTTTTGGGAATTCGGAATGGAGCACACCAAATTTGGGAAAATGTTTCACATTCGAGCAAACTCGAAATGCAGCACATGGGCGAAGAAATAAAATTAATCGTTCGTTATTGATAACTCAGAATAGTTTAGATCTCAATTGACCATCTTTTCTGTTTAATAACAAAATTAATTGCCTAAATCTCATGGGTCTCATGATAACTGGAAAATTTTGTCTATGTAAACGATTTAATATTTAAACCACAAACTGTAATTAGAGCCAAACATGAGCCACTCTCAACGTAGAAAATATGATGTGAGGGGGTGACTTTCTCAGCCGTGTCGTCATCATTCAAATTAATCTCAAAAACAAATATTCCATTTTACTTACCTCCAAATCATCTTTGCTGCTACTAATGGCCAGGACACCGCTCACACTACCGCTGCCGCCGCCACCGCCACCACCACTTAAGGACAACTTTCGATTACGTTCACGTTCTAAACGCAACAATATCTGGGCATTTTGTTCACAAGTGTATGTGTGTACCTTGCGGCGTCGCTCCAAGCTATATTCATAAAGGGGGCGCGTTGGATCCGGATTCAGTTCAGCATCTGAACCAGCATCACAACTGCACAAGGACTGATTACTACGACCCTTGCTGCGACGCAATGAACCACGATTTTGAGATGTAACAAGACGTTGTTCGCTGATGTGATTCGAAAAGGTGACATTATTTTGATGAGCGGAACGCTGTTGTAAATGTTGATTGCTGGAGCTATCATTGCTGCTAGAGGCTGTTGCGCCTCCGCCTGTCGTTGATTGGTTGATGAGATTGTTGGTATTCAAAATACTGGTCATGGCCGAGCAACTGCCAGATCGTAAGACTTGCATCGCTGTGTCCGAGTAATGGGATGAGGCTTCGTAGTTATCGAAACTAAGATCCTGACCCATCGTGCCACTTAGGCGGGCACCATAGGCAGCTGAAGGCATAATAGGCGGGTAAGAGGGAGCAATGGCGGCCGCCGATGTGGGACTAAAGGACCGCAGACGTTCACAGGCTCGCAGGCTACTGCGCAGCACCGGTGTTTGACTGCCACTCAGGGAACTTTTCCGCTTCGAGGGTGACACATAGTAGATTTCCCTCTCATCAAACTGGATCTCACCCATGGAAGAATTATGATTGCCGTTTTCACTGATATACTGGGAACTGCGTCCTATTGTGGTGGCTGTGGCAGTGGTACTGGTCGAGGAACTGCCACCACTCGTGCTATTCATGTGAGGATGATCTGTAAGGTTTTGCAATACTGGATGTCTATAGCTGCCATTACTAAGGCTTTGGCATAGTGCCAGGGAAGATTTGGGTTCGGGTGAGGAATTACAACTGGAACGATAGCTGTCATGTGAGACTGTCGAATGTTGTTGCGGCTGCTGCTGTTGTTGTTGATGATGATGGAAACGTGTTGTTGTATCGACCGAACGTCTTAAATCGGTCATTGTATTGTTAAGAATGGTAGTGTTGGTGGCTGAGTTTCCACCTTACTGTTGCCACTCCACTCTTTGATACGATGATTAAAAGTTAATCTGTATTCTTCCTTCTGGAATAGATTACCTGCTTTGCTGTCTCCACTTTACATTAAAATCTGTGCAAATGTTGTGCTGCGGAGTAGGAGGCCATGTAAACTTATTGTCATTTCTTGGGATGTTTCTTCGTCCTGGTTTTTTTTTCGAGAAAAAAGGATGTGTATGTATGAGCGGTTATTTCTTGCTTTTGTCCTTTATCCTCCACAGTTTTTGGGTCTTGGCCTTATCAAATATTCATGGGGCAGCTGTCGTCTGTTGCTCGTTTGTACACTATCACTGTGTGCGTGTGGCAGTGGTAGAAGCGTTTCGTTGGCGTATGTTTCTCTTCAGTTTAGGTTGATGGCCGTCGTTTGGTTCCTGCCAACTCTGGTCATGCCTTCATTTGCATTCAGTTAACGTAGATTGCATGTAAATATATTCCCAACTTCCGTTCAGTATAATATAGCTTATGATGATGCCAGACGTTCTCCTGGGCTGGTAGCTGGTTATTGTTTCAACTTACTTGCCAAATGTGGGAGTGGCTCAGTGGCGCTTAACGATACCAAATGTTGCCGTCGTCGTCGTTCGGCTGCCACTTAAATCCGCAAAATTTTCAATGCACAGCTAATTCATCCCCATTCAACTTGAAAACAGTTGAATCCTTTCAATATTTCATACAAATACCACTTGCTGCTGGGCTATTAAAATTTTAAATTTTCTTGATCACGAGAATCAGAATGCAACATTCGCCAAGTGTTTCTTTGCGTTTGGGTAAATGTCGCTGCCTTTTTATGCCGGGGTCTTAGTGCATTATCCCCCTTTTGTTGTGTGGCATCGCATTGCTCTCATAAATAGCAAATGACTACAATTTCATTCCCAAAGGAAGAATGGGGCAGCACTTTATGGCTGTATCTACCGCTCAAGTTGCACCTTCATTTGCTGCATTTATTTCGCATTCACCAAGTGACTCTTAAAGGATTAGCTTCAGTTTAGATTTCACTTGTTGTCATTGCCTCTGTTTGTTATACGTCCTTTGTGTGAATGTTGCGTTTTCTTTTTTCGCTCTCTTTATCCTTGAAGTTGAGCTTTTGTTGATTGCTTGCAACGTTTGCGTAATTTTATGTTAATGCAACTGCAATTTTTGCAATTTTTTTTCAGTTGTCTTTTACTTCTTTTGTTGCTGTTGGTGCCTTTAACAGTTCTTAGGTTACACTTTTTAATAAAACTCTTTGCACCATAATCTTGGCCAATGTCATTGTTATCGCAAAGTTCTCTCTCATAGATGTTGAGTTGACGTTTTACAATAAGAATGGGTCTGCATCTGCAAGAAAAATATAGAAGGCAAATATTAGGTTTTTATTGCAAATGGATTAGGTTAAGGTAATAGGAGAACGGCGAAGTTACAATGAAGACGAAATGCAAAATAAGCCATTATACGTTTTTGAGAATATCGTATATTTGATTTTTAATACAATTATATTTAATTGAACATTATTTTCGTTTTTTTTCTGACAACTTTTACAAATTCTGTGAAAAAATAATAAAATGTGTATTTGAAAATGAAAACACTATGAATATTTGGAAAAACATACATATATACTTGAAAGTGGTAAAGTATTTTGCAAAATAGTCAAATAAATCCTCATAAAGTAGGCAAAATAGGCAAGCCAAACGCCAAAAAGAACGCTATCAATCGATTTTAGTATCTTATATGTAGATATTTATATAAATGGAAATTCTAAAATATTTAATTTTGTAATGAAGGCTATGTAAAACTATTTACCTAGCTAGTACGGTTACATTTAAGTCGTTAACCCAATTCAATTGTCAATTCCCTCGCTTATATGTCAAATAAATCCTCATAAAGTAGGTTAACCAGGTAAAAAGCTCTAATTTATATGCCGTTTTATATGTTAGAGACTTCGAAATGCTAAATAACAAAAACTTGGTTTGGAAAGTGGGGCCACGAAATGCTCTAGTTAGGTTTGGGAGAGCTCAAATTAGATAGTTGTCAGTACATGGAATACATGGAAGTGTATTTGGAGAATATTTCTTAAATATTATATTTATGGCCTGTTGTCGAGCTTCCGTCAAACATCAAGGATTAAAGTTTTGGAAGTGATGAAATTACTTCCGAAAACTGCGAACAGAAATGTTATTGCCGATGAATACTGGTATAAAAAAGTTGGGGGATATTACAGTTGAAGGGAATTGTGTCCGCTAAAATTATATTTTGTTAAATTAGAAATACTTTGAGAAGTTCGTACGGTTGGAAACTGCTAGGTACCTCAAAAAATTTAAAATGTGTGGGACTATTATGTAAAGGGATATATCAAAACAAGGAACCACAATAGAATTTTTCATAAGGAAGATTTACATTCTATCCGCAGAATACGTTAAATTGAATAGAAATGCTATATAAAAACTATGACAACACAAAAATCTATACTAAACAAGTAAAAGCGTCATTTAAATTCGGACAAGCTGGACTTTTTATACCCTCCGTCATGAGGTAGACCTTTACATGCTGCGGCCTAAGCCATGGTAAATGTTTGGTAGAATGATTTGACGCCCAATGTTAACGATGCTCTATCTTAAAGATGGCGAGACCTTTCGTGATTTCAATTTCGATCGAGCACTTTCAATTTGGTACGAGCGTATTCGATATCGAAATATCCGATAAAAAGCATCGGGTGTATTCGGGTACCTATAATAGGTTTCAAAGACAGAAAAACAAACCAAAATTTATGAGGTCTCTGGTAAATATTTCGAGGTCGAATTTCAAGTAGGGCTGCCCTTAAAAATTTTCCTGTTTTATACAGATCTGACAATATCTGGATCAACCTTAATAAGTCAATATTTTCAAATATTTATACCCTTCACCACGCTGTGGTACAGGGTATTATATATTTGTGCATATGTTTGTAACATGCAAAAGGAATCGAGATAGACCCATGGTTCCTTTTAAGAATATGCATAAAATCACTTTCTGAGTCGATTTTTGCAAGTCCCTTAGTCCGTCTGTTAATAATACCGATTTTATTGGTCGATTTAGTAGCGCGTTGAATCCAGTCTAAAACGACTAGAGATCTAGAAGTTTTGTTAAAATTTGTTCAAATTTAGATATTTGGAAATGGTGCACGGATAGATATGCTAATGGTGCACAGAGGAGACTATGTTTGTTCGCTTTACATGAAATATTGCAGAGAGTATTGAATTGGAATCGGTTCAGGTTTTAATATCACATCCGTATATTTTCCCATTCGGTTTCATGTAAATGGTGTGCCAAATAACTACATTTTTTTTCGATTGGGACGAATGTGTGCACAACGTACCAAATTGGAGCTAAACTAAAGCATATTGGATTTTTTAAAATATATTCAGATGTAGATATAACCCCTATGTATCGCCTGAGTTTATGAAATTTGTGCACCAAATAAGAAAGATTTCTTCCAGTGCGGTAAAATTGTAGAGAGCTCGCTGTGCTGCATGTAGATTTCGCCCGATTCCTCTTCAATGGTTCTCCAAAGTTATTATATCTGTTCTATCTATAGGATATAAGCATCTCTGGTATGTGTATGTGCCAAAAGTGCTGAAGGGTATCATATAGTCAGCCCGTGCGACTTTTGATCTTTTCTGACTGATTTTTATACACAATTTAAAGAAACACTTTAAGGGGACCCCCCCATTCTCGGGGTCAAAATTGTTGTTGATATAATTCGAATCTACACTAATTAAACAATGTCCCTACAAAATTTCAAGTGAAAATCTCAAGAACTCTTGAAGATATATCCGATTTATTGTGTCAACATCAAGTGACGACTGAAGGGCTTCTTAAACTTTAAACGAGTTTTTCTCTAAACATTTTTTTGCGAATGGCGGGCACGATAACTCAAAAACTAATAATCCAATCGGTTCCAAATTTTGCAAGGCTTCTCTGGGAGTGTATAGCTCTCGTATGAACTAGGATAAAGCCAATCGGTGAAGATCTTCCTTATTTTTTAACTTGGTTTTTGGTAAAAAATCGGCGATTTTCCAAAAATATTTTTTCAAAGGTCCACCATTTTGTTAATTTTAGAGCGAAGTCTATAATCCTAGTTCATACGAGAGCCAGACATGTACTCTTTCTAACACCGTTGGAATTTTCGGATTCCGATGTTCCAGTGAGGAGTTATCATGCCCGCCATCAAAAATAAGGACTTTTCTTTAATTACAAAAAACACAACAAAACAATAACAAAATTTTTTTGTAAATTATTTTTCTTCTCTTTTAAATCTTCAATTATATATGTGCAAAGTTACAAACCTCCACAAGCATTAGTATTGATTTACCAGCCCATTTAATATCTTGAAAAATTACAATCGAGAATGGGGGGGGGGGGTTCCCTTAATCAATAATTTCGACAACAATTTCTAGTTCTCCATTCATAATTATGCTTGTATTTGTTCTGGCCAATATGTGCGTTTGTGTCTAGCCTATAATATAGAAAATATGTTTTTGACAGATCGATTACCGCTTGTCTTGAAAAATTCCGATCGGATGGTGCCATACAGCAGGTATGATCGTATAGAAATTAATTGTTAGATGGTGAAAGGTTAGGTCTTTAGTGAATATTTCGAGGTGTTGGAATGTCAAGAATTTCAAGTAGGACTGTCCTAAAAAATTGTACTGTGTTAAAGTGTTCTAGTAAAATTTGGATCTAGTTTGATAATACAATATTTTAAAATATTTTTGAAATGACAGAAACAATTCGGCTCCTTTGCATTTAGAAATCCCTTAGTATATTAAATTAAAATAAGAAAACAAGTTGTTTTCCATTTAGAACTATGAATTTCAATTTACTGCCAATTCAAATCGAACATGTGACTAAGCTCTTGAAATACCTAAAAGCTAGAGCAGTGTCATATGGGGCTATACTAAAACGTCAAATATAT